CCCCCCCCCCCCCCCAAGGGCCTGGCATTGTCAGCCTGGGGAGCCGCTAGGTGGTGATTTGGCTTGGATGCTAATGGGCTCTGACAGCTGCAGAAGGGCGTCCCAACCAAGTGCCCGGCTATGCCCAGCCTGGAGCCCTGAGGGAGAAAGCAGCTCCACCCTGTGTGGTGTGCGAGAGGGTATGCGTGCAAGGGGGCTTGTGCAGTTCTATAGGTGCGCAAGGGGGCTTGAGCAGGGGTGTAGGCATGCAAGAGGGCTTGTTTGGTGGCATGAAGGTATGAGGGGGCTTGTTCAGTGGTGTGGGCATGCACGGGGGCTCATGTGGTGGTGTGGCTGTGCGGGGGGGTTGTGCAGTAGTGTGTGTGTGCAAGAAGACTTGTGCAGCAGTGCAGAGATGGGTGGGGTTGTATGAAGAGGAGTTGTGCAAGTGAATGTATATGTGCAAAAGTCTGTGTGTGCCGGAGGAAACAGAAGGTGCCAGCTCTGGGCCAGTGCCAGCAGGTCCGTGACAGCACTGAGGTTTCCCGGCACCATTTTTATTGTGAAATGAGAAAATCCCCTTAGTCCAGACACTGACACGTATGTGTGCAGTTGTGAGCATTATGGTTATGGCTGCAGGGTTGCTCGGGTACATGTGTGTGCATATACGTTGTGTGGGTGCGTACACCTGTGTGTGTGTGAGGGCATAATATCACATAAAAGGTTTTCCTTTCATTTCCTAATGAAGTTCATGTGTTAAATATGAGGGGATTGCATTGGGCCTTGGCATAGTTGATGTCAGGGGAGCAGGGTCCTGGGGTTCACATGTATGTGGGAGGCTGGCCTTGCAGTCTGGGCTGTTCTGCCAACTCCCATGGTGACCTTGGCCAAGTTGCTGTTCCTTGAGCCTTGATTTCCCTAACTGAAACCCAGCTAATGCATTGCTTTATTGCAGGGCTCTGCGGGTAAACTCCTGTCATCCTGGCTTTGTCTGCAGGCTGAGAGTCCTAGGGGCTGGGGACATTTCTCTCTGCCTCCGTGCAGCTCCCAGCATGATGGGGCCCAGTCGTGGCTGGATCTCCAAGTCCAGAAGCAGGAATGCAGCACTCAGTCCAAAGACGCTAGAGAGGGGAAAGGGACAGGCCTGGACAGGAGCTCCCACTACCCCTTTCCCCCTTGACTGCTGAAGCTGTTGCATCTTGTGCCTCCATAGTGCACCAAAGGGGATGGCCTTGGGCCTCTGCAAATATAGTCCATGTTTGCAGGCACTAGTGAGTCCCCTCCCCGCCAGCCCTGGTGTCAGTGCTCACAACTCTGTTGCGTGGCTGGGGAAACTGAGGTACGGGATACGGGGGGGCGGGGGGTGACTTGCTGGAAGCAGAGCTGCTAGGTTGGGATTTGAAGGTCCTGGCCACCAATGTAGCATGGGCTCCCAGCAGGCTGACGACAGCCCGACCCGAGGAAGGGGCGGGAGGGCAGGGGGAAGCAGCCCCAACCCTTGGCATTCTTTCACCCCTGCCCGAGTCTAATCCCCAGCCTGAATGGGGAATAATGGGACCCCCCTGGGCTGAGCCCAGCTTAGGAACCATTGCAATTCCCTTTGGAGAGGAAGAAAACAGGCTCCCTAATCCGGCCTAAGCCTTCCCTGTCCCATTGGCTGCCGGCTGCCCGGGTAGAGGGGGGCCTGGTTGCCTGCCCTTAAAAAGCAGAGGGGTAGAAGTTTGGGGAGAAGTTTTGGCTGCTGTTCCTGAGCCTAGGACGCTCGGCTGTGGGGAGGGCGAGGAGAGGAGCTAGGCGCTTTCCTGGGAAAGTTGGGGTCCCCAGAGGTGAGAGCTCTTGGGGTGCACGTGTGGCTGGGGGGGGGCATGCAGGGGGTGAGGGCAGCAATGGAGCCCCCTGAGGCTTGTGCTCTCCCTGAGGGCAGGAGGGAGGTGTACAGAAGCAGGAACAGCCCCAGAGGAGAGTCTAGTGGAGGAAAATGAGTGGTTTGGGGTCTGGCTAAAAGAGCTAGATGCCAGGGAGGTGTGGAACAAGCTTCTCTCCCGCAGCTCTGCCCTTTGACCCCTGTCCCAGCCCTGAGCTGCCCCCCGCACCCACAGCTCTGCTGGGACCCCTCTACCCCAGTCCTAGCTTTCCACATGCCCCTTGGGCCTGACTCACTGGGCGAGGGACCGGCTGCTCCTGTGCACTGGCCCTGTGGTGCCATTGCAGCTGCTTGCACAGCTGTTTCGCACTCCCGCTGCACTGGTAATAACAAGCACACAAGACCCAGGACCAAAAGGATCAGGAAGCAAGATCCAAGAGGCTTGAGGGCTCTGGCAGGTTCCCACATCAGAGGCTTCCCCGCACTTTCTCTTGCATTGGTCTTGTTACAGCAGGTTTGTCCCACGGCCAATTCACGACCCACTGGGGATCCCACCTAGTATGTCTGGCTGACAGCTTGGGCAGCTCCAAGCAGAGGGAAGCTGCAAATCAGGAAAGGACTGTGCTGGGAGTGGAGTAGAGCCCCTTTTCTGGGGGGTCCCAGCAGTCTGAGCAGAAGGAAAGGGGAATCCAGCATCTCCAGCAAAATGGGGGATTGTGAAATTATTTCAGTTGGGAATATTGAAGGGTTTCGGCTCAGTGACACAAAGCTGTGAACTTCCTGGACGGCAAAACACCTTCCCTGCAGTAACACCAAACTGCTAGCCAATTCTTAACAGAGCTCTCGGCAAGTTTTTAGTTTTTCAATTTTGTTTCTTTGAATGATCAACTGGGTGGAGGTGGCGTGTCTAGGGGCTGTGGTTCGGGTCGGGGGGAGTGGCACACGTCAGGGCCATGGAGGAGCTGTGTCTTGCCACCAAAGAGAGGTTTTGCGCCTACCTGTCATGCTCAGCTACAGGCTCATGTATGTACGGAGGGGTGTGTGTCTCTGCAAGGGATATGTCTATCCAGGTGAGTGGAGGGAGCAACCAGCAGAGAGTAAAGAATTACGTTTAAAACCGATGGAAAAGGAAGTTCTTTTCTCACAGAGAATGGCATTAAAGGATGGGACTTGGCAGATGCAGTGGAGGCGGACAGTGCAGCAAGGTTCAGAAAGGGTCTGGACACGTATTGGGAAAAAAGGTGTATCAATAGCCGCTGACCAGACAGGGAGCTCGGAGCATGCTGCGGAGGTGTAACATGGCTGAAGTATGGGGAGGGCCGCACCCTCACCCCTTTCTGGATCTGCTACTGATGGGCCCTGCTGTTTGTCTGAGGTCTCTAGATGCCACCGCAATGTAAAGCATAAATGATTGAGGCCAAACCTCTTCCTGGCCGAATCCCTGCCTCCGGCATCCCCCATGGAGCAGAGGAGCGCAGCCGGCTTACGCAGGGGCTGGGCTGCGGAGCAGGGCTATTGCTGCGTTCTCAAAGCTGTGTGTTGTTTCCAGGGCCCTGGTGCGAGATGCCCCTGATGGGCCCCTTTGTACCCACCATGTACTGCCTCAGCAGGAGCAGCTGTCCCCTTGGCACCACGAACCCCCTCTCCATGGTCTGCAGCCTCCACTCGCCGACAGCCGAGCCCTTTCCACTGACCCCAGCCCTGGCCCCGCAGCCCACGGCCCTGCAGGCGGTGAGCTTGGTGGATCGCTTGGCAGGTAGGATGGGCAAGGGGCTGGGGGAAGCAGGACATACGTTGAAGCGCTGGTTTCCAGTAAGCCCAGTTTATGGTACTGGAACAGCGGGCCCAGTGGTTGGGGCCAGAGCAGCATGTGAGAGATGGGTGCTCCATTCCCTGCTCTGCTACTGGCTTCCCAGGTGGCCCTGGTTGAGTCACTTAGCCCCTCTGGTGCCTCAGTTTCTTACTGGGGTGAGGTGGGGAAGAACACTTCCTGCCCAAAGGGGGCTTGGGGCGGACTGCAAGGTGCTGGGGGTGCTTTGGTCATGCCAGCAGTGTGGGCAGCACGGCACAATAATGAGGTTGGTCTCAGCAGGTGATGCCATTGCTCACTAGTGCTGTGGCATGGTCTGATGTTGGGGATATGCAAGGAAAGCTCAGATGGCTGCAGCAGTAAGCAGTGGCAGTGACAGCCCTCTCACCCGGGGCCCCAGCACGGTGCCTGCTCCACTGACCCTCTGCTCCCCCAGCTTGTCCCCTGACACTTCATTACTTTAAGAAGAGCGGGATGGTTAGCTCAGCTAATGGTGATTCCCTGGGCAACGACCTGGTCCTCTCCTGAATTAGGCAGGCTCCGTCAGCTGTTCTGCAGCCCCTGGGTTAAAGAGCTGCGGTGCTCCTCCCCAGAGCTGGCTGCATGCAGCCAAGTGTGTTGAATCCATTTGGGATGACACACAGGGAAATCCTCCATGAGGAAAGGCGCCATTTGGTCTGATCTGGCTGTTTGCTCCCCCTTTCTCCCCCCTCTCCCAGAGTTGCTGCTGGCAGCTCGCTACGGGCTGCCCCAGAAGCATCGCCGCAGCCGTACTGCCTTCACGGTCCACCAGCTGGAGGCGCTGGAGAGAGCCTTCGAGAAAACCCACTACCCCGACGTGGTGACCCGGGAGCAGCTGGCCGTGTTCGTCAACCTGCCCGAGGCCAGGGTCCAGGTAACCCCAGTGCCACTTGCTCCTAGCACCCGCGCCCTGGCAAGCTCCAGGCAGGGCCTGGTCCAAATCAGGACAGCAGTGGGGTGGTCCTTTCAGTGGTTTCCATGGGAAAGAGATTAAGGGGGAGGGTCTGTCTTGTCCAGGAATTAACCCTTTCACAGCCTGGATGGGGAAGGAGAATGCTCTGCTCAGGCCCCACCAGGATCCTGTCCACCTTTTCCATGAAGGGAGATGGTTGGATCAGAGGCTTCGGGGGTAGAAAAGGGGCAGTGCAATGCGTGCTGCTGGGGTAGGAGATGGTGCAGACAGCCCTTTTCCCAGCAGCCCCTTGGCCTCCCCCAACCTGAGGGCTGCCCTGGGTCTCCCTGTATCTACCCAGTGCGGAGCACAGAGCCAGCTGCGCCATGCGAGAGTAATGCCAGGTCTCTGGTGCCCTCACTGGAGTGGGGCTGGGGCACCACAGCAGGGAAAGACCACAGCTTGGTGGACCATTAATCTACCCCCTTTGGCTCCTCCCTGGTAGGTCTGGTTCAAGAACCGCCGAGCCAAGTTCCGCAAGGGGCAGCGCCGTCAGCTGGAGAAGGCCGAGTCTGCCAGGCCCAAGGGAGGAGACGGAGCAAAGGGGCGCCTCTTGCCAGAGCTGAGACTCCGACCAGCAACACAGGGCAGCGCCCTGGGAGCGGAGCATCGCCTTGCCCCTCCGAGGAAGGTTCCCGGCTCTGCAGAGCCAGCACCCCAGTGTCTCCAGCAGGCCCCTTCGCCAACACCCAGGGCTCAGCTGCTGGATGGGATGTGGCTGGACTGTGGATGGAGGAGCGACCCAAGACTGTGGCACCTGCCCTCGCTTTCCTTCCCCACCTATTGGCAAGCTTTGTAGGGATCCCAGGCTCTGTGCTGTGGGTGCAGGAGCCTCTGCCTGCTGTGCGCCAGGACCTAGGCAGGGTACATCTGCCCCAGTGCCAGGCTGTGCCAACTCGCCCAGCTGCCACCTGCATATGAGTGCCCTCACGTGCATCCCACCTGTCTTAAACTCAGGGAGTCCTGAGCTGGGCTGTGACATGCATAGGACATGGGCTGGTGCCCGGTGGTGTGAACACTGTCCCGGCCCAGATCCCAACACATGCGTGTGTAGGGGGAGCCCCTCTCTGGGGACCTTGTCTCAGTGGCAAGGTGGGGAGGCGGCAGGTGGGTTTGTTAATAGAATCTCCTTCTGTGTCAAAATAAAGCAGGTTTTTGGGCCTCCCCTGTATGGATATCCCTTTCTTTCCCCTCTTATGAACTCCTTCCCTCTTCCTCCCACATTGGTCCTGAGCCATTGGGCCATCTGCTTCCACTGCTCTCCTACTCCTTTGGCTCTGGTGGATTTGGGGTAGCACAACAGGCAGAACTAGAGCTGGGGTGGGCCAGCGAGGCCTCGTGGCCAAAGGGTTTGGTGAAGGCCGGCTGTGCCCTGCAGGTGCTTGCTGGGTGCGAGATGGTGGGAGCAGTGGGATTACCCCAGTCCTGCCCCCCTGAAGAGCAACCTGAGACCCACGCTTCTCTGTGCTGCTCTGGTGTGAGGGGCTGTGTGATGCGGGAGCACAGTGCTATTGCTATGTGGTATTATATGTTGCCCAGTGCGTTCCCCTGGAAGGAGGCCAAGCTCTACCTGTCCCCATTGGATTCAGATGCGATGTGATCTTTACCCCTGGGGTGAATTGGCCCTGGATGATTGCTCAGCAGGCCAGTGGGGCTTCCTTAGTTTCAAAGTCTGGCAGCTCCTAACCTGGAGGATGCTGACACTTGGGGGGTTACCTGTCCCACACAGGTCACACCTGGAGGATGAGGGGGTTAAGTGCAAACACCCTTCAGGAGCCAGCCCCAGAATGGAGCAGCAGGTGTGTGCTAGATCCCCAGGATGGAGCAGCAGGGTGTGGGGGTGGAGGGAGGGAGCTGTTGAAACAAGGGAGCTGGTTCGGCGGGTTAGGAGCTCAAGCGTGGCAGAAGAAACAGGCTGGCTGTGGGAAGCATGGGGCGCGGCAGACCGCAGGCCCCGTGTTGGGAAAGTCTGGATTTTGAGAACACCAGAGACCTCCACCACAAGGGAAGAGCTGCAGCTAGAAGAGTTGGGGGGGAGCCATGGTGGCCACTGACGGTGGAGGAAATCCCTCTGGAGTGGCACGGGCAGTCAGCTGCAGTGGGGAGAGGCTCTGGGTCATGGCAGCTTGCTCTCCTCTGGAGGCTGCTGAGAGAGCCCCGTTGAAAGCTTTGGGCAGGACCTCTGGCGAGGCTGGGAGCACTGGGCAGGGCTGAATCTCAGCCCGGCTGCCTTCACCCTCTGTTGGGCTCTGCCTTGCCCTCTCCAGCTGGCTCCAAGGCAGCATCAGAGGCTGGAGTAAGAGGTTTTAGAGGGTGTGAAGGTGCCATCAGGAAAAGGGCGAGGGCTTAAATTAGCACATCACCTGCCAAGTTTAAGCCCAGTTTATGGAAATGGGAGTCTCCTCCCTTGCTTGCCCCTGCACGTTATGGCTAAGGGCAAGCAAAACACAGGGGCATCTGAACCCCAAGCCTCCAGTAGGATGCAAGTAGGATGCCCACCAAAGGTTTTGGAAACACCTGAAGCCCCAGGTGCGAGTGGAGGATGTTTGCCCATAGTAGGGCCACTTACGGTCCTGGACTCTTGGATTTGGAATTAATTTTGGCTAATTTGGCCTTGGATACAAAATCTATCTATCTACCTATCTATCTATCTAACCCTCAGTTCCCCAGCATGAGCAGGGAGGCCAGGCTGTCCTGGCCCATCCCACACCTCTGTCCACAGGGCAGAGGCTTGTCTGCGCAGGAAGACCAGAGCATGGGGCGCTTGTGTGGGGATTACAGGCACCGACTCTCTCAGGCAGGGCTCACTGGAAACTGGCGTCTGTCTGCATGTGGAGGATAGCTCGCTCGGCTCAGACAGCGGGCTTGCCTCACTTCATGCACTGGGGGTGTCTGGACAGGAACTTGGCATGGAGTAGCTTTGTGGTGGTGGTGGGGTGATCTTCCCATGGGTGGGGTACCTGCGGGGGGTGCCCTGCCTTATGGGATGTACTGTGGGGGGGGGG